ATCACAACATGCGGCTCCGAGAGCGAATGACGGAGGTAATGCTCAGGGAGCGCCCCCTGGGAAAAGATAGTCCAAACGACCTCAAACAAGGAGACCTGGTGATAGTTCTTAATGACGCTCCGCAGCCTCGTCGCTCAATGGCCCATAGACACCCAGATGGTTCGCGCCACGTTGGTCACTCCCGATGAAGATCGTAGGGATCGAGCGGACACAGGTAGAGGTAGAGCGATACGGACAGCCAGGCTCAACCTTCAAGGTACACAAGGAAAAAGTCCGAAAGTTTAAGAAAAGTGAGGATCCCGAGCTAGAAACGTTGACGAGGGAGTACCTAGAGAGGATGGGCGGCGAGCCGGAGGGGCTGGTAGAGGAAAAGAGTACGTACAGGCGCCTCAGGATCTACATTGACCCAGAGACTCGCGAAGGTCTGGAGCACTTCCTCGGGATTCCTGCGGTCCCGTATTGAGCTAGGAGGGGGGTTGGTGCGTCGAGACATAACAGCTCAATGACGGGCCGTCAACGGGGTTTTTGATATAAGGGAGACAGAGGGCAACATGGCGACACACACTCCTGACGCGATGCCCCTATTCCGCGACTCAGACGACGAGCTCAGCATTAGCAGGCCGTCCCCCATCACCCAACAGGACACATCATTCTGTCCTGCAGTGCCCCGGGCGGCACCGCGTAGTACGACGGCTCAATGAGCTCAGTTGGATATGACGGCTCACGACCTGGTAACGGTGTTTGTTTTTCGCGACAAAAAAGTGCGCGACAAACACTCGCACATGGGAAGATGCTATTTCCTGCGTTCAATCTCCCGGAGCTTCCGATGACTGGCACAACACTGTGGGTCGACGAAAAGGTGGGGGAGAGGGAACGAGAGTGGCTTCAGCTACCGGGCGACAGCGGTGGCTCAGACTGAGTGTGCGAGCAAGACAGCTGCTCCAGCGACGACCCACCTCCGCGCGGATGCGACCCACCCCCGCGCGGATGCTTGCGCCATGAAGATTATGGGGTGGAACTCCCGTGGCGAAGAGTCTCGAGGTGGCGAAAAGTGCACGTTACCATGGACGACGAAAGGCAGATCTGTACCTTTGAGACCCTGGATTCCCGTTACAGCTTCTATTCTTGTCCGTGGTCTGAGCCCCCTTGAATCTAAGCCCCTTGGCGGATGATCGGTGCAGGGTGCGGGGATGGAAGGTAACTGTGGCTGGTCTCGTTGTTAGAAGTGTCGATGGATGCATGTGAAGCTATGGCACACGGTGTACCGTACTGTAATGACTGCTGAATGAGAAGAAAGTTACCACGACTGGAAGGAGTGCGACCCTGTCGGAGACAAGGCTCGCCATCCGGACAGGACGCGCGCTGAGAGGTACCAGGAATAACCCCTCGCCCCCTCGGTGTTTCGACCACGCTGGAATCATGTGTGTGTGCTTCCGTTAAAACACAGCGCACCAAGTTGAAGGAGGTGTAGTTGAAGGACGCGACGCCCTCCCGCTGACAGCCCGCAGACGGGCCGGTCAGCCTCGATGGCGCACCGCAACGCGGCAAGCTGGGTCCACTCAGGGCGGGGTCCATGTTTTTGCCAAGACTCGAAAGCTTGCTGCACCAGGGTGTTTGACACGTGTCGTCGTTGAGGCCGTGGTTTACAGCACTCAGACGCCCTGGACGTGTATTCGGTTGGAGCGCAGTTTAGGACCGCGGGCGCGTTGGATTTAAATTCCACGACGCGGCGCTAGGAGGTTGCTGCGGATCATTACGACTGAAGTGCCAACTGACAGCGTCGAGCAGAGTGGACAAATGACGAGCGTGGTGTCAAGCGGGAGTGCAGAGGGCGTATCTGTCCCGGAGGAGGCGATGCCGGCGGCCGGGTCGCCGCCTTCTGGGTCGACGGGAGGGTTGCACGGGGACCGCGTGGTGCGACGGGTTCCCGTGTACCTGAACAGGATTGACGAGTCTTCGGAGGTGTCGTTGTTGCAGTGTCCGTTACGGCCGGTGTACCGTCCGTACGGCGACCACGGTCGGTTGGTTTCGATCGCCCGAGGTGTGGATTCGAAGAAGCTGCAGATGAAGTACGAGCTTAACACGGGTGGGCCGCACTATGACGAGGGGAAGCGGCAGTTGCTGGAGCACCTGCAGGAGTCGAAGCGGACGGGACGTCGTTTGACTCCCGAGGAGGAGGTGCAACTAGAGAGTCTTCGTTTTCACAAACTCTGTTCTACGCGCGGAACGGATGAGTGTGACTATGCAATCGGTCTGGTCCACCGCGGGCGCTTCTTCCTGACGCCGGTTGGACACGTGTTGCAACTGAAGCCGGACTTCAGCCACCTCGACCAAGAGGAGCAACTGGCGGAAAAAAGCGGCAAACAAACCGCAGCCGCACACAACGAAGAGAAGGAACGCACACCGGACAAGGCCACGAGCCCTCTTAGCGCTGACGCTACGGCCCCCGCCGGCGCACCCGCCGGCTTGAGCGCACGTCTCAAGGTCGAAACCCCCGGCCAGAAACGCCGCGCCGCACTCAGCGAGCCCTACCAAGTCGTAGACAGCGTTTTCGACGCAGACAGTCCCGAGACGGCAGACATCGTGAAGCAACTTGTGACATTCCCTATCAGATATCGCCAGGAAATCGAGTCTGATATTCAACAGGTCGACATTGATGAACTGCTGGGCATCACTTCCGACAGCCCCCCCGCCCCAGCCCCGCCGAAGCCGAAGTACGAGATCCGGTCGCGACGTGGTTTCAAGCCGGAGACGATTCCTCGGATAATTTTGGACGGCGATGTGTCTCGCTATTATGAGACGATATGCTCTGGATGCGCTGTGTCGACGCTGGCGGGGACTACGACTCAGTTGGAAGGTCAGGATGCGGCGACGAGTGCTGGAGTGGGTGTAGGTCCGTTGTCATTTTTGGCGTTGTCCCGTTTGTCGATAAAGGAGCAGGTTCGGCGTATCATGTCGATTCGTCAGATGGAGTATTTCGCTGACATTAAACAGTTGGTGACAAGTTCTACGGTAACGGATGAAGATCTGGTCAAGTATTTAGGTGAAGTTGCCATCCCCATCCACGGCATATGGGTGGCATCGAGCGAGGTGGCTGTCGCACCTATAGCCGCGGGGAGTGGACCTATGGGGAGTGGACTTGCGGGGAGTGGACTTGCGGGGAGTGGACCTGCGGGGAGTGGACGTTATTATGAGTTGGAGAAATTGACGCGAGATGTGGTGTTGTGTTTATTTGTCAAGAAACGACCAGTGGATAGGCAGCAATTGAAGAAGATGACGCAGCTGCCATCTGAGCGATTGGGTAAAGTTTTGGCCGGACTTTATAATGTTGTGGATGGCAAATATGTGCCTCGTCTTAATCCAGATCCGGAATTCATGCAACGGTATCCAACACTTTGCGCGGCCGTAGAGACTGAGTGGTCGCCGAAAAGGGCGCAGGAAATAATGAAACGAATCGCAGAATTCAATGCAGCCGAAACCTCAAAACGCGCTCACTTCATGACAGCTGCCGATGGAGGACGAGTTATTGATACATTGGACTCCACACGCGTGCGCACACTCGTCACCAATTGCCTTAGCCGCTATGGTGCCAGCAGTGAAGACTTTGTCCTCGAACAGGTCCGCAACGCGCTGCAAAAAGATATCGAACGAGATATCAGCGAACAACTCGAAGGTGAAACTAGCTCCATGGTTCGCAGTAAACTACTCGAGACACATAACGCCATGGCTGAAGCCCTCAAGTCTATGAACTGTTCAGATATACGAATCGTACTCTTACATTGCGCTATTAATTTAGGGGGCTTATGGGTCCTACAAAAAATTGGCAACCACCACATTGACCCCTACCGAGCACTTGTCCTCTCCCTCTACAAACGCGATATGGAAGCCGGGATCACCAAAAAGGACTTCCATGAAGCCTGCATCAAACATCTCAACCGCCAATGCGACCTCCCTGATGTCCAGTATCGAGCCGTCTTCAAGTACGCCGGCACACACACTCTTCTGTCGCGCACACACACTCTTCTGTCGCGCACACACGCGCGCACACACATTCTTATGTCGCTCTTTTTAGGGAAGTTAGCGTCAATATTAGCGGTCGTTGGTATTTTAAAGGTTCCAAGACCGTTCAAGATGGAAAGAATGATGAGGACGAATAAAAGATTTTCTCGTCGGTTTGTTTGTAGGTTTGCTGTCTCTATGTTATTGGCATATAGTACAGTTGGGATTTCTATACAGCTGCAATCCTGTTAGGCAGGGATAGAGTGAACCATCGTAGTTGTAGTGGTAATAGCTGGTCTTGATTGCCCCAGTGAGTATTGCGATGGCCTTGGAGACCACGAGATGTCCGATAAGTTGATTGGTTGATGCAATCGCTGGCACAGTTCGTTTAAGTACATCTTTCTGTTCGGATTTGGTGAGAGGGGGAAAGTTGTATTTTTGGCACAGTAGTAGCGTGTTATCATTCAACCAGTCTAGATGATCGTCATTGTCCAAATCAAGTTCGTTGCTTGGGAATTCTTCTGGCCACTGTATTAATGCGGCAAAATCTATAAAGGTGCCCAGAATGGATGTATGCAGAATGCTTACGAACGCAGTGTTTGTTGGACCTAGGTTTTTGTGCTATGGAGCAGAGTGGCACTTTAGCGTCTGGATCGTCCAGGAAGTTGTTGACGGTACATTCAAAGCAGGCTGAGGTATCTGTCAAGGGGAGTATGACTCTGCAATGTCCCATAAGTGAGTCGGTACCGCCATCAATTAATGGAATATTAATATTCTCATTTTTATACAAACGATAGATGACCGAGTTAAGCCATCGCCGTGACTCAACATTATCCAATCCACTCAATATACAATCAAACTGAGAGTAAAAATTCAAAGGTTTATCTTGAAGTCGGCAATGATGTGCAGTTATCAACGCATCAGGGTACGCATGACCTAACCGTTCTCGAGCTACTTCCGCCTTAGGACGACCCACATCCTCCTGACGGAACAAAATTTGACGATTCAAATTGCTGTTATCCGCTATGTCCATATCAATCAAATCCACTTGACAAAATCCAGACCCCAATAAAGCCTTGGCCACGTAGTTTCCGATCCCACCTACTCCGGCCACCAGGATGTGAGCCGTTCGCAACAGCTCCAACGGTACGTCTTCCCCATTAGACCCGTCTTCCACCGTTCTACTATCTTCCGCCGTTCTACTATCTTCCGTCATTCTGTCCTCCGTCATGTTTTTAAACCACTAATGCCCATGGAAAATAAATGGATGTAGCTGAACCAGCACTCCAAGGAAACGACCGATATGAAATAGATGACTCTGCTGGATACCTTGGTGAAGGAACATACGGACGCGTGTGCAAAGGACGAGATAAACTAACCAACGAGTAATTAACCATCACGACGATGACCGGCTACAACCACGGGACCTATGACCACCACCGACCACCACGGGACCACCACCGACCACCACGGGACCACCACCGGACCACCATGGGACCACCACCCACATGGGACCACCACCCACCATGGGACCACCTCCATGGGACAAACATCACAGTCGTATAGTATATATGCTATAAAAATGATTAAGCAAAAAAATACGGAAGACACCCGTAATTTATCTGAGTTACGACAACCAACATGGTTTTACGGAGTATCGAAACAAGTTTACCAAGAAATTATGATAATGAAGGAGTTGGTTCATCCGAATTTGATTGGTGTGACGGATGTGTATTTTGGTAAGAATTCGATAAATCTTGTTATGCCATTGATGCGAACGGATCTGAGAGCAATGTTGGATAAGCGGACGTTGACAGAGAGTCAAATGAAGTCTGTTATGCAGCAATTATTGAGAGGGATTTATGCGTTACATTCTAACTGGTTTCTGCATCGTGACTTGACGCCTGGTAATGTGTTTCTAACTCAAGATGGATTAATAAAAGTAGCTGATTATGGCCTAGCGACTACTTACGGAGGTCCTAAGCGTGTTCCATTGTTGGACACGGTAGTGACATTATGGTATCGATCGCCGGAACTTCTCTTTAATGCGGATTTGTACCAAGACAAAGTGGATATCTGGTCATGCGGATGTATTATGGGTGAAGTATTACGAGGAGGTAAGGTGTTATTTAATGGACAAGATGAAATAGATCAATTAAAAAAAATATTCTGTGTTACTGGAACACCTTCAGCCTTTGACACCAAAAATAACACAGACGATAAACCACTCTGGCCAGAAGCACGTGCTCTGTTAAAATTCGAAGCTTTCACCTTTAAACAACCAACCCACTGGAGCGAAATAATACCTACTGCAAGCCCTCTTGCCATTGACCTATTAGGAAAAATGCTTCTACTTGACCCCAACAAAAGACCGTCTGCCAAGGAAGCACTCGAACACCCCTGGTTCACCACACCGCCACTGCCCGTACATCACAAAAAGCTCCCCGTCATTGACTAATCCGAAACAACGAACGCAATACTACGATGCAAGCAATGGAAGGGGAGCACTACGCAAGCAATAGAAAGAAAGTGCTAAGACCTAAGAAGACCGTGCCGCTTAATTTCTGAACGGGCTTTCGATCGCGGTTGTACTGCATTCAAGTGCCGTTGTACAGCTTTCGTGTAGTTGGGCCAACTTTTCTTGTGTGCTACGGCTATTGATGTGTCGGTCAATGGACCCGTCTTCGGCCACAAAGTACACCAGTACTGACCTTGCTAGTTCTTTTCTTCGTTCGGTAGTGCGTCTGTCATTCACTGGTTGATCGCCATCATCAACTGGTTGGTCGCCATCATCAACTGGTTGCTTATCAGCTAATTGGTGACACTTGGCTGCGTCACCCGTATCTTTAATACAGGCTTCCGCTATGGTCTGGAGGAGTTTCTTCGTATCTATTCTTTTGTTAAGAATTTGCAGGCGTTCTTCCTTGCTGGATATTTTGCCCGTGCACATGCTGCGGAGGACCAGGGGACAGATTTCGATTTCTAAAGGTTTCAGACCTAATTGTCCCCGCCTTGCATTTACCATTGCTCCTCCCTTAAGTGTTTCTTGGCTCAAGACCAAACATTCTAGACGCTCATCTACCCCTGCTACTCCCACGCCCTCAACGTCCAACTCACTAATTTCGACCCGGAGCGTCGAATCTACCTTTACAAACTCCATCACTGACGTAACATTGATAGCTTGTTCCTTCCAGACTTGTTTTTTCGCAAAAGAACAACTCTGGGATTGGCGGTAACCGAGGTCTTCAGCGAACCCAATAACACAAGACTTTAACATATACTCCCTCGTTCTGTAACTGTAAGCCATTAGTCTTGCGCACTCATCTTTATTTTGAACAGTACTGTCCGGCATCAGACCTAAAAGTAGAATCGAATCACCCTTCGAACGTAGCAGCTGAAAACACCGAAACAGAACTAAACAATGGCCATCATGACAACCATCCAGGCTACCACCAAAGGCAATACATTTATACGTGGTCAAGGCTGTTGTTGCAGCCATTGTCCCGGTCGTAGCCATGCTCTCGGTCCTAGCCATGCTCCCGGTCGTAGCCATTGTCCCGGTCATAGCCATGCTCTCGGTCCTAGCCATGCTCCCGGTCGTAGCCATTGTCCCCGTCGTAGCCATTGTCCCGGTCGTAGCCATGGTCGCCGAAAGATCGGCGAATTTTGACAGATCGACAACGCAGTGTTTCGTGCAATTTCGGACTTGGTCGGACATCACTTCGTACCAGATCGGGGCGTGCGTAGCCTTCAGCCATCGTTCTTGCAGTCTCCGTTCTTCTGGACTAGCCAACTCGCAAGGACCCGATGATGGAATCTGCATCAGGTACCGGGCGTTTGAAAAGCTCACGACAAGCTTGATGTCCTTCGGCAGCTGTTCTCGAATCGTCTCATATATTTCTTTTATCGTTTGTATCGGCGTAGACTTGTCCACACTGACCCTGACTAGTTGAACCCCATCTTCGAACCTGAGCTTCCTCAGCGACTCCAGTCTGAGCTGGGATGTGAATAATTCTTCCTGTTCCCCTTTGTGGTCCTCCTGTTGTTGTTCCCCTTTGTGGTCCTCCTGTTGTTGTTCCTCCTGTTCCTCCCCTTTGTGTTCATCTTTGTGGTCCTCTTTGTGTTGCTTTGTATTCTTGGGTTCTTGGTCTGTTGGTACACACTTAGTGTGTGGTGTGTGCGCTGGTATGACTAGGTAGGTCAGCCACATCCATCCAGGTTTAAAAAATCGCTAGTTGTTCTTCTGGCATTTTTCGTGGGCGTCTGTTTCGCAAGCGGCCTTGTTCCGGACCGAGTCGACCTGGATGGTGGTGTGCAGCACGTGGAACTTGCGCTGGACGAGGCTGGTGGCACATTCGAGTACCTGTTCCGCGGCGCAGTCGCCCTCGACCACCAAATGGCAGGCCATCGCCGGCGTACCGGGCCCCAGCGACCAGATATGCAGGTCATGCAACCCACTCACTTCCGGAATCTTCTTCAACTCCACCGCCACCGCCTCAGCACTAATACCCCGTGGAACACCCTCCATCAACAACATCAACGCCTCCTGAATCAAACCCAACGTAGTGCAAACCACGATCGCCGCAAACACCAAAGTGCACACCGGGTCCGCCGCCGTCCAATTCGGCTTCATGTAAATCAAGACACCCGCCACCGCCACGCCCACGTTCTGCAACAGATCACCCAACGTGTGCAGATACGCAGCCATCACGTTCCAGTTACCCTCCATCCCACGCGCACAAACCTCAACCGGAACGTCCGCCACCTCCACATATGCTGCATCCGCCTAAAATATACTCCCAATCAAAGCCCCCCCCCCCCCCCGTAATCTCGTGCGATCTAGCAACTAGGAAATGTCAGTGAAATAAAGTAGTGCGAGACCCCGTTGCGCGTCCTACCGTGATAATGTCGTCCAGCTGACAGGTGGTGGGGTTGCTAAGTCTTTTTATGACTTCACCTGCTCTAATGTAGCCTTCCACAGCATTGCCTTGCAGGAATGGTGTGCCCTCACTGAGTGACTGGTTGGACTCGCTCTTCTGTCCGTGCTGACTCTCGACGCCGCTGCTACACGGAAGCAAGTGGTGTTCGTGGCTGGATCCCTCGCCCACCTCGTTGTGGTGGTGATGGTGGTGGTGGTGGTGGTCGCCACTGAGGATGAGCGCAATCGCCACGTTGCTCAGGATCCCGAACGCCGCGGTCACGATCATCACCGGCGCGCGCACCTCCGCCGGGTTCCACAACCGCCGCAGCGCCTCAATCACAAGCCATATCGTCAACAGCCAGATAATCATAATTGAGATGAACGCGCCGACCATCTCGGCACGCTGGTATCCGAAACTCAACTTGTCTGTTGGAGGTAATTGGGACATGTAAATCGAAGCCAGACTGATCCCGAATGAACAAAGGTCACTGAGCATGTGCGCGGCATCCGTGATGATGGCCAATGACCCTGCGTACAATCCTGCCGCTATTTCAACCACCATAAAGACACCCTAAAACACCGTACGTCTCTCCCGATACGCCGTGATCAAGCGGCAGCCTTGTTAAGCAGCCCTCGATGAGCTTCGCCTATCCGTCTGCCCCGGCGGCGGTGGTGGTCGTCCCATGGGTGGGTGGGTGGGTGGGCTTACGCATATGAGTGATGCAGCAAGCAGTTTCCTCTTCGAAGATTCATGACTGTTGCCTCCGTGGCTGCCCATTTCTCCTCATATATATGCTGATGAAAAAACCTCCCAGCGCGTGACCCACCAGACTGCCACGCGCCGCTGCGTTATGGTGCTGCGTTATGGCGCCACCATTTAGGAAACGGTTTGTTGGGGCGGGGGTTCGAAGATGATGTCGACGCTGTCGTGTATGGCGAGTACTTCGGAGATGCAGCGTTTGATGTAATCCTGTTGGCGTTTGAGAAGAAGTGGGTGCGGCGTGTCAACAAGTTTAATGCTTTTGAAGTAGGCGTGATGATAGTAAGTTTCGCGACATTTCATAAGCGCAGTGCGTTCGCACTCAGAGTCTCCGATACTAACAAGGACCGCGCGATTGTAAAGGAGCGAGTCATAACCGGAACGCACACGTGTGTGGCGCCAACCACGCCACCAACGTTGACCCGAGGAAGGCGGGAGACTGCGGTTGCGAGTCCGAGGTTCGCGCGTACGTCCCTCCGCCGGACTCGTGGTTGCCGGGGCATCAGTCGGCTGTAACAGCTTGAGCATAAGTGTCTGGAAGGCACACATCTTCCACATCTCCGGCGGCACCTCTTCGGCGGCGGTACGGTTGTGGGCTAGGTAGGTGTCTCGGGCACTGATGATGGGAACTTTATACTTCTTCACGGCTTGTAACAACTTGGGCATGAACTTGGACGCAGAGATCTCTACCCAAGGCAACTGCGCGTTAGTAATGATGTACATCTGGTCGGAGTTCTGGGCGCAAGAGCGCAACATTTCAATGGAAGACAACTCCAGCCTCCGTAACAGAACGCGATCCTCTGACGACAAATGCTTCAAGTCGAACATCGTCCACATCTCATTGCCACCGTCCCAAGATTCTTTGCGATATTTGCGATTTAAAGCCGACTGGACCTTCCGCATCCAACTTGTCGGAAACAACGTGTCGTCCCAGTCCAAAACGATGGCGATCCCGCTTGTTCGGTTGTCCTTGGCATTCAAGCAACGAGTCTGCAACGCAGAACATAACGACTCAGCTCCAATCTCGTACGGCCATTCCGTCTTCAGTGTCGTACCCGCCGCCATCAGGCGGCTTCTCTCAGCTGACTTGTTTTCAGAACGACTCACCTCAAACGGGTCACGACCCGATATCTCATGGCACGGCTTCTGCCTCTTGCCCTGGTACGCGTCATGCCGATTGTCCGATAATACGTCCTCTCCGATGTTTGACGATGCCGTAGTGCTCAACGTTGACGATAGAGCGTCGTTTGTGGTAGTAATTCTGCTCCTGAAGAGACGTCCAGCACGACTGTTCATTGCTGCGAAAGAACCGTAATACTCAGCCACCGATACACCAAATCCAGCCAACACAGACCCCGCCAATGTTCGATCGAGAAAATCTCAGAAAACGTACAAACATGTCATACCGATGTAGCTCTTGTTTCTTCACTTATAAATCATCCAGTCCGATGTTTCCCAACGATCGATCTAATAGGTTTTCCTCGATTCGGCAGTGCCTGAGTAGTTCCTAGGCGGTTGTTGGAGCAGACTTGACTGATATTTCCCGATAGCACACGTGTGCGATTGGGCCATTTAATGCGCGGTCGCGCATTTCCCAGCGTTTTACCAACCAATATAAGCATCTGAACACTTTCTTTTTCCATGCTGACACAGCCGACGTCTAGGGTACCTTCGTTTGAGGTGCGGGCTGCTGTTACGAGCTCCCCTTTGCCATGCGCGTGTACCCAATATGCGTTACATCGGTTTCTCATGGAGCTGAGTGGTGTTTACGACGTGATGATAGTTCCCCCCGAGATGAATGTGCCTACTAGATCTAATACGAATACTGTTATTAGAGTGTTCTACCGATCGTCTAGAATTGACATTGGGGTAAGGCACTATCTCTCTGAGCCGCTAGTCTGCAGGTCACTGGTGTGTTCCTCGCTGTGTGCTCCTCGGGTGTTTGCCACTCCCATCTTCGTGTAGGGTGTATTTGAGGTGTTGGAGGAGCAAGGTCAGGAACTATATAGTTTTACAGTGGTCAACCAGAGCCGAGGTCCGTATGACCCGAAGATCGAGACAACGGTTGTTCGGGCGCCTAACAAACTCAAGGCAGCTCTCGTCAGAGCGCATTTGGCATCAGTAAGCGACCATACGATGAACTATTTGTTATGTAGTTGCCGGGTATCATATTTTGCGGTATCATCAACGTGAAAGACATCGTGGTGATTCATGACGCGGCTTCCTGTTCGCCGGATGCAGTTCGCACTGCACTCCTGGGATTGATAGGTCACGAAGCATCGCCCAATATGGAGCGTTTAGGCAACTATGAGACGAGTTTGAAAGTCCCACTTTCCATGGCGCTCAACTCACTTGTGGCTACCCTCATGCCGAGCATGTGGATTCTGGAGTACCCCCTCCGTCTC